CTAATTCAAAAGAGAAATGGCATCTATATCATCCTCTACTCCCATACTGGGAGGTGTAACAGCTATGGAGATTGCTGTAAGCCATTAATAGTTATTTTTTTATATATTAAGAAGGGGGACTTGTGGGAGCCCGTTCTCGGGTTCCTTGTGGCTTTACCCAGCAGGTCTGAATAGAGGATGATCAGGACCACGGGCCTGAGTGCAGGTATCTGAGATGGTCTGCACTTGGCTGTGCTGGGGGAGGAGGTCTTTTGCTCCACCCCTTGGCGTCTCTATGAAAACCCTGGGGCAGAGACAGTCTGGGCCCATTGGAATAGGTTCCAGGCCCACTCGAGGCTATCCTTTATTTTCTATCTGTTTATCTCCACAAGATTCTCCGCTATAAATCCTTCTATCTAATATTTCCTGCTGCTCATACTCAAGAAAACTCTGGGAAGCTGTGGGGTTGGTGGGTAAATGCCCCACAGCTAACCATCTATCTCTATTTAGGAATTTTGTGTTCTGTTAGCCATGACCCCCTTAAGCAGTTAGGCTTCAAGGTGGGTCCCCCTTCCTCATCAATGGACCACTGCCCTTGATGTTACTGCCTCCTGACCAGTACACCTGATGGGATTTTCTGTACCATGCTGTTGTGATCATCTTTGAGCTCCCAGTAGTGCTGGTTCCCTTCTCCCTGGTCATGCTCACTGGTCTTCTCAACAGGGATGCTCCAGCATCCCACAGAGTGGGATGGTCTCTGCTCACTCCCCATGGAAATATTTGCTGATATATCCACTCTGGCACAGGCAATTCTCAGAGATTTTTGATCACCACTTTTCTACTACCTGATTTCAGCTGCCTAGATTAAGTTGGTCCTGTAATGTGGGCATGGTCATCCTCTAACCAGTTCCAGGAAGCCATCCCTAGAGCATTGCCTTATATCCCGGGGAATCTGCCAATGGTTTGTTCTAATGTCATTCTATCGCTGTGATAAAACACTCTACCAAAGCAATGAAAAGGAGACAGTGATTTATTTGACTTCTACTTGTAAGCCATAGTCTGTCACTGAGCGAAGTCAGGGCAGGTACTCAGAGACAGGCAGATTGCTATTCCACACAGCATCATCTATGACCAGGGAACTTTTTCACAGTTGGAGAGGAATAGCAGGAACCATGGAAGATGCTGCTTGCTGTCTTGATCACTAACTCCTGCACAGCTAGGTATCTTATCCATTCAGAGACCACCTGCCCTGGGAATGGTAATGCCCTTAGTGCCTGGGAATTCCTACCTCATCAACAGTCAAAACAGTCCCTCCATGGACACTTCCTTCTTAGGTGACTCTAGACTGTATCAAACTCAGAGCGCGAACCAGCAAAGATGTGCAAGTCTTTTCTCTTTTCCCTTCTTTCTGTTTCTTTTTTTTAAGGCCCCCCTTCCACAGGTGTCTCTTGTTCCACAGGCAGAGACTGTCTCTGAGCCCCTGCGCTGCATCCCTAACCTCACTGCATGTTTCCTTCACAGATGCTGATTCTCTTTGCTACAGCTTCACTGTGGGCAAGTCAGGGTCTGGACCATGGTGGCACCAAGTCCAAGGCCAACTGAACACAGAAACTGTTATTTACTGTGACAGTTCCAACACCTGTCAGGCCAATGGCATTCTGGGGAACAGATTGAAGGCCACAAAGACCTGGGAAACACAGGCTGACACTCTGAGAGATGGAGTTGACCTGTTCAAACAGCAAATGGTTTACATGAAGCAGGAGAACAATACAATCAGAGGTGAGGTTCAACTGGCCCCATAGTGCTCGAGATGTAGCTCAGTGGTAGAGGGCTTGCCTGGCATGCAAGAGGCCATAGGTTCCATCCCCACAGCTACAAATTAAAGAATAATCAGATGGGCCCCTGATGGAGAGAACAGGATTTGTGACAGGGTAGGGACATTCATTGTTTTCATGGAGATAAAATGAATTATGGAGGTCCCACCTAAGAGGCTCAGCAGCAAGGTAAAATGTGGAGGGTAGAGCAAGGTCAGAGGATGGGAAGGGAGGTAGGTAGGCCGGCAGGATTCATCAAGGTCAGAGGCTGATCTCTTTCCCATGGGCACAGAGCCCCTCACTCTGCAGGCCAGGATGTGTTGTGGGCATGAAGTAGATGGAGAGTTCAATGGATCCTGGGACTTTGACCTCAATGGACACAAAATGTTTCATGTTGACTCAATCACTGGAAAGTGGACTGAAGTTGAACCTGGATCCAGATGGATGAAAGAGATGTGGGAGAATAACAGGGATGTAACCATCTTCTTAAAAATGACCTCACGGGGGGACTGCAGGTCCTGGCTTGAGGAGATCAAGCCACACTGGGAAGAAAAGCTGGAGCCTACAGGTAACTGGGAAGAAGGGGAGGGAGTTCTCTGCAGATGAGTGTGTGTGTGTGTGTGTGTGTGTGTGTGTGTGTGTGTGTGTGTGTGTGTGTGTGTGTGTAACAATTTAATCACCATGAGCTCTTCAGTTGATGGCCATTTTTTTTCCATCATTCATTTCGTTTCTCACCCTCTCCTATCTCATTAATTGTGTTTATCTTGTTCTCTCACTGTGGTTCTCACAGGCTGTCACTGTCTGTGCATCCTTTATTTCCTGTCCTTTTCCTCATTCTAGACTCTCTGCTGCTTTTCATCTCACGGGATCTTTCTTCTTCCCTGCCTCCATCCTCACAGGTAATCTTCATACTTCTTCTCCTACTAGAGGGAAGATGAGGCCCCATCATTGGCCTGCTTTCCCTATCATAGCTGTGTAAGTCTTTGAGGTCAGGAGCCATGCCTTCTTTCTCTTCCTACTGGGCATCCACTTAAACATTCGTTGCATAGCAACAGGAGTGGAACTATGTGTGTTTCTGAATCACCTGAGCACCCAGAAGCTAAGTGAGATTTCCTCAGATTTGATGTCTGGTCAGGACTCAACCTGTGTTTCCACTTCAGCCTCGCCAATTGCCCCAGATGTGGACCAGGCTTCGTCCATGGCCATCAAGCCCAACATCTCTGTCCTGCTGATAATCCTCCCCTGCTCTATTCTTCTGTGGTTTCTGAGGAGAATCTGTGATCATGAAGGTACTGAGGGCAGTGTTGGGAGTGGGGTAAGGGACAGAAAGAAGGAATGAGGAAGCAAGAGGGAATTCCTGGAGTCCTGCTCTTGACCCTCATCTATAGCAACTTTTTGAGAAAGGAGGCAGGAGATCTGGAGTTCATGTCACCTGCAAGCAAAAGTTCATGCATGCTCAGCCTTGACAGGACAGGAATCATGTCACAGACCAGTTTGAAATAAGTAGGGAACACAGCAGGTTCATAATCTGGAGGGTCCCCTGATGCAGATGTGGGGATAGAGGGAACACACACACACACACAGGAACACACACACACACACACACACACACACACAAAAACCCAAAAACAAAAACAAAACAAAAAAAAGATGTTAGTTCATGTGCAACTGGTAGGGCAACCTGTCCCTTCTTCTGCACAGACCCCAGGCATTCCCACAGTGCACTTACAGACTTGCAGGCTCACACTCATACACAGAAACTAGAAATGAATCAAACAGCAGCAGCAGCCTCCAGAACCCCTGGACCAATGTCCACACTGGAGGTTGTGGGACTGAGCTGCTGCTGGAGTCTGCTGCTCTCATCTGGGCTGCCCAGAAGGACAAGGTGTGGCAAGAAGACACACACACAGCTGTGATACCACTCTCAGATTTTGAGAGTTTCAGAATGAAGGGGAAAAGAGTTCTGGGACCCCACTAAAGTCCTGGATTACCAGGTCCAAAGGCCATTGTATTGTATAGCGCTCCTCCCCCCTCCTCCAGCCCCTCCCATCTGGCCCAGAGTCAGGAGGCAGAGCCAGTCATCACCACTTTATTCTGAACTTCCTGTCTGCAGCAGGGCCTGGGGCTGACTCTGGGACATGGGAAAGAAGGGAGGAAGACAGGAGAGGCTCCAGGGATGCAGAGCCCAGGAGTGATGGAGGAGGGAACTGGATGACCTCAGTGAGGGTGACTGTGGGGTGGAGATGACTGGTACTGGGCACCCAGGAGAACTGACCCAGGCTGTCCTCAGACCTTCAATGGACCTGTTCCCTTGCAGCAGGTTGAAGATGCTGCAGAGAAGGTCGTGAGAGTTCATCTGGTGCAGCCACTCTCCCTCTCATCGGCCTCAACCAGATGAATCATGGTGCTGCCGACACAGTATTTCATGATCTTTCACTCTGTGCTGCTCACTTGGGTCTTTCTTATCACCTTGTACTGTTTCCTTGGTGCTTCCTGGTGGGATTTGCCCTTAACATGGAAATACTTGAACTAGAGATCTGGAAAAGAACATGGTTATGTGCCCATCCCTAGCATAGGAAAAGGATAACCAGATCTCCGCAGTGGGAATGTGAAGTGTTTACTCCTGTGTGTATAACATCAGAACAGAAGTCAGTGTGAGAGAGACTAGGAAGGCTCCACCTGTCTAATGGTATTCGACTGGGAGTTAAATTCTATGAAGAATATTAACTTTGTAATAGAGATTTATTATATCACCCCTGTACTAGGCAGCCTTCTCTAGAACAAAAGAATGTATCTATTATTTGTTTGTGACCATATATGATAAAAAGGGATTATTTCATAACAGAACAGGTGATATTTTATAATATTATTGCCATTACAGGTTAGTTTCTGTGACAGGCACATTGGAGACAGAGATCCTGGAAGCTGCTCAATCCCACAGGCTGGCTGCCCCTGCTGTGACAATCTGGTAGTGAAAGCCAGAATGTCCTGGAGAGCTGGTGCTACTGAGTCCACATCCTCCTGATGCAGGCTCTGGGTCAGGGCTGCTCTCCACTGTGTGCAGAGAAGCTGCTTCTGCACATCCAGAACCTGTGATGGGAGGAGAATGAACTCCCACATGTTTCCTCTGGCTCAACATGGGCACTTTTGCACAAGTGCACTAGCACACACACACAGACACAGACACACACACACACACACACACACACACACACACACACACACATGACACATATGCACAGTGATAACAAAAAATAAAATAAGGACTCTAAGTATGGAGAGTATAAAATGCATAGTTCACTGTTGAAAACAATTTTGTAGAAGCAGGGTCTCACTATGTAGTTCAGGCTGGCCTGGAACTCAGAGATTCACCTGCCTCTGCCTCCTCAGCATCAGACCTAAAGGTATGTGCCACCATGCCTGACTGATCCTTGCATTTTTAGCTCTAATAGTATGTCATTTAAAGTATTAGAACCTTAAAATTGACTATTTCACTCACATTAATTTGTAAACTATAGTGACATTAAGTACAATGGCAATATTCAAATACCTCAGGTATCACTAAAGGAAACCTGTAATCACTAATCATTGGAAATGGAAATCGAGAACTAATTGTTTAGTAGAAGTCTTTGGTAACTGTAACAGGCCCCAGACCTTAGCACAACTGACTCCATGATAGAACTGCCATTGAGGCTGTAAAACTCAGCACATAGACAGCACTACCTGCCCAAACTAAAACAAAGGCCTGATCTATTCAAGCCCAGAGTTAAGGGAAAGTCTCTGAATGTACTAACCTTGCCTTTTGTCTTCTGTAGTTCCACTTCTGGCTAACTGTTCTTGTTAACTGACATCGATCCAGACATTGTTTCTGTGCTTAAAAGCTCTACCTGAGAAAGGTTCAGTGCTACACTGGGATCGCAAATACCCAATGTAGTTGTGACCAACTAATAAAGTGTTTTTATTGACTTAAATTCATGTCTGAGCAGTCTTCTCTGTTGAGTTCCCCACAACATTTGTGCAAGGTCCACCGAGATCCCAGAGCAAGACCTGAAGACACTAGAGATCTCAGTCTCTTGGAACAGGGAAGAGTGTGGTGGTCAAGAATCTCCTAGGGCAGTGTTCCTCAATCTGTGGGTCACAACCCCTTTGGGGGTTCAAGGGCCCTTTCAAAGGAGTCACACATCAGATATCCTGCATATCAGATATTTATATTAC